GGGCGTTATAATGTAACGGTCAATCCCAATATTCGTTGGTAAAATAGTAGCCCAAGAGTTGGCGGTGGGTGATGATGACTAGCTTTCACTGCTCTATTAGGAACGGCTAGCGCAGATAACACTCGTCTATCCTTGCGCGAAATTCAAACCAAACAAGCAAAACCAAAATAACGTCAACGTTTGTACTGGGACTCCGTATGAAATAATTTGTCGTGCCCCCAGTGGCACAGAGGCATGTCTGCGGGCTTATACCGATAGAAACCGGGTTTCGATACTCGTAGTGGGCAGAGCACATATAGCCCTTCTTGTAGCTTTGTTCTTAATTACAAACAAACAAAAAATCGACGTCGTAGTAGTTGTATCTTCTACATGTGTGTCCTTTCAATTTTGATTCTTGATATGTGCAGAAGATGACTTTGTTATGAAGCCAATTTTATAAAAGCAAGCGCTAAATAAAACTTTAATGGTATAATTAATTTTAGTGAGGAAAATTAATCACAGCTGTCATGCATTTTCACCCAACAATTGTAGCTACTGTCAATACCTAGGCTAACTGTCAGTTTCCTTTTTTTTTCTACAGGAATTCAGATTTTTGCATCACCTGAACTGATTGACTCCGTTATCACAATGGATGCTATAACTGCAGAAATAACTTAACTTGTATCAATTGATTGTACATTATTTTGTGTTCGTGGGGTTGACATCGCGATGAACTAGACAAAGCTTTTCTTTCCTCTCTCTAACGTACTATACTTCTTATAGTGCACAGCGGCATGTCTGCGGACATACGCTAGAACCGGGTTTCAATACCCTGGTGGACACAGCACAGATAGCCCATTGTATCGCTTTGTGTTTAACTTCAAACAAACACGAAGTTATCAGTGCAGTACGTGTGTGCTAAAGAAAGACAGCTGTCTCTCACCATCAGTGTCAACGTTCTGTTGAAATTGATTTATTTCGTGTTCGTTATGATATTCATAGTGTGTCTTTGTGAACAGCTCCAGGTTTTATGTAACACAGGTTTGGTCTCTGAGCTTTCTACTTCAAACTGTCCCCTAACTAAATATGGGGAATACGTAGTAGTAGATCTTATAAAACACGCTATAAAATTTTTAAACTTACTACAAGTTCGAATCTAAGTATTTGCTTTTGAATATAAATCTCGAAATAATAACGATGTTTCTTATTCACTTTCAAAGTACCTCAATGGCAAAAGTGGTACAATAAATTTCCAAACTTTCTGTGAAAACAAATTTAATATTCTATTAAATATGCTCAAAGGACCCGTTATTAATTAAGTATCCAAGCATTTAACTTCAACCGAGAACCATTCCGATTAGCATATGAATTTTAGATAGGTAATTGTACTAACCATATTTGAAAATTACTTTGGTACACCAGATTTGAAGTACAGATATACTTATGACATGATACAATCGAACACAAGCTATTCATGTCTCGTTCCTGAATAGAATCATTACAGACGTGGATAAATTGTATTGTATTTTTATTGTACCAAATACTTCGATTAACTTTAGAAAATGGCCCGGCATGGCCAGGTGGTTAGGGCACTCGACTCGTAATCTGAGGGTCGTGGGTTCGAATCCCCGTCACACTAAACATGCTCGCCCTTTCAGCCGTGGGGGGCATTATAATATGACGGTCAATCCC